CACCTACTCAGTATAATGAAAAGGTAATGAAAAAACAACTTGTGACATACAAGAGCAATGAAATAAGACAGCAAATGAGGAAGATATCTTTTCTTCACTTTCCTATATTAGAAGATACATATCTGGTCTAGAAAAATACTTTGAATTCAGAAAACACTCAATTTTATAGCCAAAGCCCCTGGCTTAGTCCTGGTCCACTACCTCTCAGGATTGAACCCAAGATCCCAGCTCTGTCCTCCCAGGCTCCGTCTGCCCCAGCAGGCTCAGCCAGCCAGCAGCTGGACCCTCTGCACTCGAGGTGAGCTCCTGCCCTGCACAAAGGTTCCCTTTCACACTGCTGTTCCACCTCTGTCTACTCAACAGGGGACACTGCACAAGGAGAATGTTTGTGACTATCCTGCCTTCTGTTTTATTAGGCTTTCACTGAAAAAGGCTCCCTTTATGACTGCAGTACGATAGCTTTGCACAAACTGAGAGTATCAAATGCTTCAGAAGAATCCAATACTGCAGATATTACTACTTACACTGCCTTCATTTCACTTCCAGGTGGCTTTCAGAACATTAGAAACACTTCTCTAGGTTTTCTAAATTACTCAGCCTTTCCCATCCAGCTTCTTCATCTGGTTTTGAAAGGATAGCTAATATTTTACATCACTCTAAAGACAGGTTTTATCATGCAACCTGTAAACCCAAAAGTTCTTACTAAGAATACTATCTGCAATGCAGAAATATCAATCAAATTATAATCATCTCTGCTGTAGCAGCTAAGCCCTCTTAGTGCACACAGGTTTTGCAAGATAGGGGGGTTTGTGCTCTATTTATGGCCAGCACTATGTAAATACTCTCCAATCACACAGTTCTTACAATGACACAAAGAAAGGGTGCTTTTCATTTCTCCCTGCGTGCAACGTTTCTACAATGCTCGTAGACTTTGTACAAGAAAGACCATTAGTTTCTATATAAAGACTGCCATAAAAGTTTTATAGTTTCTATAAATGTATAAAGATTGTTCATTTTATTATAAACTCTGTTTCAATGCCAGTGGAAAGAAAAATTAGCAGTAGAATAGAAGTAGCAATCTGCATAAGTACCAGCTTGCAAGCACATATACCTCAGTCATTCTTGCAGTAATTAACTGATACACAGAATAGCTCATCAAATTATAGACAAGTCATCATACCCACTTGAAGCAGCTCATAAACACAAACTATCACCACATATATTTTTTTTTCCTTTCTAGATGAGCTATAAAGACTAAAACAGTAAGGAACTGAATGATACACTACTCAAAAAAGCCATTTAAAAAATATATTGCATTTTACAAAATTGTGTAATTCCTGCTACAACTTCCATTGACTGTTAGCCTATTTTCCACTTTTATACATTTATGCATCAACTATCTGCTGAGACATTTGTCCTGATAGAAGTTCGTATCTTTGCAATAAACTTCCTTGTATTAGTTAGCCCAGGATAGCTATTAGTCTTGGGATTCATCTTCAAAACAGTGGACAGCCAAAATTCATGTGGTGATAAGGGTAAAGTGACCTGACCTTAGTTTGGTATTTATAATATTCCTATAGCACAGGGTTTCACCTACAAAAAACTAACTTCATTACTACAGTTTTATTAGTAACCCAAACCAGAAAATGCAGTAATACGTAAGTATTTTTCTGCTAGACCATTGACTTATTTTTAAAGGATACTTCTACCTATAGTGACTGTATTTTATGAAGAAAAACTAAGAGTTCTCATCTGTTTTAAATTCTAAGACCACTGATAAAAAGGTAGCACAGAAAAACTGTTGCTTTTAACGCAAACAATTGCTTTATTTCATGTTAGGTACAACCACGTATACATAAATACACATTTTGTTCTTAAAAACTATTGTAAAACACCCCAACAAGTTAATATGTTCTTGCATTTAAACGTGTATCTCAAGATTACTTCAGCCCCCCTCCTGCCGTTCAAAAAAAGCCCCCTAGTTTTAACCATTTCAAGTGGCCTGGAGCAATGATTAGCATTTTCTTTCCTTAGCAGGGCTCCTAAGATACCTTCTCTGTGACACTTTCGATAAAATATTCCATTCTACAGTTATTTAACAGATTTAAACCATAAATGTCATTGTGGTCTGAACATGTCAAAGACAACTTGAGGGAAAAAAAATCAGGACACGCGGAATTCACTTTGTCAGTAATTACAATCAAAATTCCTGCAATGTGGCTTGTCTGCTCATTACTTCCTTACTTTGTATCAAACCCCTTATTTACATTTCAGATTACATTTTTCATGAAACAGTAAGATCTATCAGAGCTGAGAGGACTGAAATAATGAGGGAGAAATATTTTAATAAAACGTGTTGGGTCTGCATTACTTCCGTGTCAGAAAGAAAGGTTTCTTCTGTAGGGATAGATCATTTATTCTGTCTCTAAATGAGAAGCAAAAGATGAAACTGATGAACTTTTACTGCCCATTTGTCTTTAGCAGACAATTAAGACAGAAGATCAAAATGGATTATCATACCACGCAGACAACTGGCCCAACAGTAATACATCTCCGGGACCACAGATTTGTAACTCTCTTTTATCCCTCCCCTTTCTTCTTACTCCTTTTTCCTCTCTAAAGGCAGTGCTAGCTTTGTGGCTCAAGGGGAGCCAAAAGGCTGGTCATCATTATTCAGTCACAGATGTCAATCTAACCTCCCTTTTTTCTCAGTTTCTAAAGCAGTGAGGCACAATAATTTGTGACAGATTCTTTTACTGTAAGGTACAAAGAACACACAGAATAAAACATCTAGCAGCAGCGAGGGTCTCTGATCAGATGTGCTGGTACATGGGAAATACAGTGTATGTAAAAACAAGCACTGATAGTTTAGATGAATAAAAAAAACTTGAGGTGTATTTTTTTTTCCTTTTTTTTTCTTACTAATAAGTACTTTACCTTGTGTTGATTTAACTCAAATATTCCTTCTGGATTAAATCATAAATGTTTGATTGGTAGAAACAATTTTTGCCTGCACTGATATGCTTATCACATACACATATGATCTTCACACACAGAATACATGCAGAAAAATCAAGGGTCTCCTGGTCTGTACCTTTATCTTCAGTGCTTTAGCACTGCTAATTTTTTCTTTTCTTCCAAAAAACAATAAACCAGAAGTTTTAAAAAATAAACCTCCTTGACTGATCTGCAGTCTATATATTTCTCAGGGCTCTAGATTAATCAGGAAAAGCATGAGTGTAGCTGCTCCTTTCTACATTTTTTCCCCCCTCTGTCTTACTGGAATATTCACAAGTGATTTTTCAAATCTAAATCTGTCAACTCTGAATACGTTCTCTTCTTAAAAAATGTACAGCTACTACTAACACAGAAAATACTCCTTCTGTGCACCAAGAGGGAAAGTGTTCTTAAAATTGACTCTGAGATGGAGAAGTCTAGTCTCCTTTCTCCAGCTTTCCCTCTGAGTTTGTAAGTGAAAAGTATTTGCTGATTTAAAAATTTGTCCCCTCCCCACAAACACACAAACACTCTGCCGTGGATTTGGTGGGGTCTGACATCAGAGATCAGAGATTCTGACTATAATTGGGTGAATAGCTTAAGAATTATATATGAGCCTGTGGCTCCTCTAAGTTTGATTCAGTCTTGCATATTCATAGCAATATTATGCAAGTCTAATAATTTGCAGCAGAAGAAAGAGGACTGTTAAGAATTTTATAAAATAATTTTACACACAAGACCTTCCTGCAATACCTTGATTATGGACACAACTGACTATAGCAGCTCTGAAGGACCATCAGTTCACATATGATTTACCTGATAAGCTATAATATGCTGGAAAGTAGTTAGTTAATCATGTAAATACAAACTTAGGGATCTACTTACAAATTACAAACCAGCAGTGGTGATAAGGATGTAGTCCCAAAAAAAAGTTTAGTTCCATGCTATACTGAAAAGACAGTCTTAGTAATAAACTACAGTGAAAAGCAGTCAGGTAGTTGAACAGCTGCTTGAAAAAATGCTATTATTACTACTACTAGAAAAACACCCAGAAGTGCTGGGTAGGGTCCCATTGCATAGTGATTATTTGTTCTGGCCCTGACAAGCTCTCACATCTACCAATTTGTTCAATGCTTTAGCCTAAACGCCACAAAATTTCATATTGTATGAAAAAGATCTGATACAAAATAGCTCTGCTGACCCTAACTCAATAATAGAGACTCACCGAGGCTAAATTTAGTGTTATATTAAATAGTTATATAATGCCATAACTTCAGCACTCCCCAGAAACAAAGGTGCAAGAAATCAGCTTGCACTCACAGCCCAGATGCAGCAGTTACCCCAAATGCTGACAAACAATAACAGCGCATTAACTCACTAGTACTCGGAGACACCAGAGCAATAATCCCCTCTCCCTAACCTCTGACCCCTGCCCCAATCCACTCCTAATGAGGCACAGTAAAATACAAGGTAACTTGAAGCTGTTAATTTCAAAGTCAGCTAGAGATCCTGTGAAAATTCCCAGATTCAATCTGTGTATAAACTAAATGATAAAAAGCTGTGTGTTCTACCTGCACATTCATATTTTTACACTATCTCTTTGAAACAGGCTTGAGACTGCATGATTGGGCAAGAATTTTAAAAATGTATTGTAGTGCCAGGTGTTGGTTAAATCTAGCCATAAACCTTTCAGACAATGAAGCAAGACTGCCAAATGAACTGCAGGCTGTGGCACCTAAAGGCAAAAAGGGAAATTTATTAATCAATTTTCCTTCCTAATCTCACATTTGCTTGTAAGAACTAGATTGTAAACCAATCTTATGAATTCCAAAATTCTTCCATTTTCTGCTTTAAATGTGAAAATATCCTTCTGCTCCTAATTACAGCTTCTTTTTCTTCCTAAGAATGCATTTATCTCTTTCAGTAAAAAGAGCAGCAATAATATGTTGAACAACCCTGAAATAAATTTTGTCATGTAAAAAAATTAATTACGCATTCCAAACCTGGTCACTGTAGTCCTCTGGGAATTGCCTCCGCACCTCAGGATCTGTAAATAATTGACAGATAATATTAATTGGCTTTGGATTAGTGAGCAAGCAGAGAATCACACATTAATATTTGATCAGAAGATGATAGCAACCCTGGCAGGGGATCCAAGGAGGGCAGCTGGGGCTGCTATGTTGATAAGAGCAGGGAAGGACTTTTCAAGGCTCTGCCTTTAGCCTCCTCCAGAAAGACAAAAATTGCATATAAAACATACACACACAATACATTAAACCATAACAATCTGTGTGTACATACACATGAGTATACACACACATCTATATGTAAATGTATATTTATCAACATTATTTTATAAGAATTGTCCTGATGCTACACTGAACCTGAGGCTGTTGCCCTGTGCAATATTGTTCTGGCTGCAATTTGCCAGCTAGGCTTGTCACAAGAAATGGTTACCAAATGCACTTGGATTCTGTTTGTAATCAGATAACTAGTTTTCCAGCTACAGACACCGCATCCATAAACCTCCACAGATGTTTTCAGTGATACCAGATCTCTCAAAATGACTTTAGGTTAAGGTTTGCTCCCTAGAAAACAAAAACTAGTTATCCAGAATTTGAAACAGGTATTAATGTAGCCCTGGAACCTCTAGTGCCTCAGATTAGCAAGAATTCAAGACTGATGCAAAGTCCTTGTTCCTTTGGCTTGTCAGAATAAATAATATGGTAGTATTCCCTGAATTTAATCAGAGATACTCATAAAACAACAAAATATCATTGCTGAAATTATTTGTATGACACCTTGTTTAATACAGAATTCTCCAAAGCTATCCATATTTCAAAGGAATAGGGCTGAGAAGACCAGATTCCATTCTAAGAAGAATTTTCTTAATTACAAAAACTAGAAAACCAGCCATACAACAACCACACAAGTTCAGAAGGCACAGAAAAGTCAACAGGTATCCTATCCAGTTCTTACCCTCTGTGCCATCTCATGCATTTGGCTATGAATCAGGCTTCATTCACTGCACATAGTTACCAGACTCTTTACTCTCTAATACACTGTTTCCACAAATACTGATCATTAAGTAGGGAGTGACTTTGCATCCACAACCCTCATTGCTGATTGTTGCTATACTGCATTGGAGCAAAGGCTTGAGGGGAAGGGAGTCATTTTTATGACACTGTTATTTCAGAATAGTTCCACCCTAGAACTCTCATTGGCAAAGTTGGCTTTAGTAATAAATTATTTGATTGGTGATTCAATTGCTAGCAGATGCAAACTTTTGATTAAGAAGTATTCTTTTTTTAATTAGAAATACAGCCTGACTGTACATTAATAAACTTCCTAGCTGAACTCTTTCCAGACATCAGGTGCTTAATTTTAACATTTCACCATTACACATACGCATTACATACAGAATATATCAAATTTTATATATGCATATGAGCAAAACCTTCTACATTAACAGAACAAAGGAGAAAAAGAAAGCAATAGATCACATTTTCCAAGTGAAAGTCAAAACAAATCAACTTACAACAAGCTAAAATATTTCCATTGTCCCTATCTCTTATAAGGTCCACTACATACTGTACATCAGTTGACTTGACTTGACAATGACTGGGATTTGGCAAATTTTTCAATGTTGTCTTAATCGCAGCCATTGCCAATGACTTAGAGTGTGGCACATAATTAAAATGCAGTTATGGTGGTTACCAAAAGAAAGTAACAAGCCATAATTTGTCTCCACCATCAATACCATCAGAATCATTACACCTCCAACATATCTTTAATATCAATAGCCAGTAATGGCAGATATTTCCATTTTCAAAGTTACTGAAACATTTACTTGATCTACTACAGAATTATTTTCCTTAATTGTTTCAGAAATCTGCAGTTCTTAATATTTGTCCTTCAGGGCAAATGTGCACTAGTGAAAAGTTAGACTGTGAGTCTGAGATCTGTACAATACACCAAGTATCAGATCACCTGTATAATTAGTTTAAGACTGTTGCTTCTGAAACAAAATTTTGCCGAGTGCTATTGCTATAGAAAGAATTGTGATACATCCTAGTTGCACAATCATCGGTCTCTGCTGTCTATCCCATCCCCACAGCTTCCCGGAGCAAGGACTCGCCAGCCCCGCTGGTCAGGCTATGCCAGAGCAGGAATTTGGCCTCCTCCTCTGAAGAAAAGGCAGCGAGGATGGATTAGTTGCTGCTGCTATGGTTTGCATACCTGGAGAGGCAGGTGTGCTTCATTTCAAGAACCCTTCCTACAGGTCATCCAACCTAGTTACTCATCAACTGTAAGTATTTTGAATTTCTATTTTTTATCTTGTGTCTTCAGTGAGCTTTTTAACAGGAAAAAAATGAAAACCCAAATCTCCTTAAAAACCACATGTACTAGATCTTACTTATGAAATGGGAAGTTTCTAAACTTTTCCATGTAGTAGCATATTAATGGTACTATATTTTTAATTTGCTATTACAAAGTCTTTTCTATATCTCCTAACTGATACCATTCCACTTTTACTAGTCTATTGATCTGTGTCCTAAAGGACAAATTATTTCTACCTCTCTAAAATTAGATAGTAAAATATAGATGCTGCAAGGCTCAGTAAGAAGACAGCAGGAAGTTTGATGGATGCTTGCAGTGCCGCAGAGACTTCAAGCAACTGAAGTAGTTCCAGTTGTTTTCAAGAGAAAGCAACTGAGAACAACTGAATGTATCTTTGGTGGACTGAATCCCAAAGCAGATAGCACTATTTCACCCCCCAGATCAAACATTACCACACTGTAATTGAAAAGATGTAACTGTGATTAGAGTTCCTATGTCAGGGAGCCCGAGTCAGTTTCTGCAGGTTCAAGACAAACATCTGCTCAAAGCTCACAGTCTACAAATATATATTCATCCAGAAAATGGATACACACAATGAGGAACCTGTTCTGGGGAGGAGCAGGTAGGACAAAAACATATGAAACAGATGACACAGGGGTTTTTTTCAAAGCAGCTTCTTTTGCCACTAATTTAAGAGGTGCTTTTGAGGGAAACTACTGAATCACTTCTTATATGAACAATATGTGAAATTGTTGTACCTGAACACATTTTTTACTTTGAAAACTCTGTTCTGTCTTTTTTTCAGAAAAGACAATGCTATGTCTCAGTAATAGAAGAGTAAACCTTTTCTGCACTGTTACCACAGCATTTTGACTCCTTGCCATGCATATAGAGTATCTGTCACTAAATGGATAGCACAACCCATGGATTCCACACTAAGTGAATATAGTTTTCTCTGCTAATGTTTAGTTTTTCCCTTTAATAGCAGACATTCAACCTCACCTCTAAATATATTACAGAGCATTGTCCTGATTACTCCACCACACTCGAGTAATATTTGTTAGTATTTTAGTAAATATGTGAATGTTCCCAAGTTCTAAAACCTATTACTGTCTCTCTCCCCACAGAATCTTGTTCAACAAAAAGTCAAATACAGAAGAACATTGAAATTAGCTGTGAACTGTATAATCCCATTGTTCAATTTCATGGCATTTAAGACACTACCTTCCCCTCCTCACAAGTCTAGATGTTAATCCATGCTGTAACCTGATTTAATTTTCCAGATGACAGGATGGGAACATGCTACAATGGCATATTAGTGTAACTATGCTGCTCTTTTACTCTCAACTTTTTTTTACATCATAAAGTGAAGAGTTTTGCTTTTAAAAGAGGCATGCTTAATTACTTCTAAAAATAGCACAACTCAGTCTGGTCTGTATTTGATATGTATGGAAATCAGAAAACCAGGAAAGTTATTCCCAAAATTATCAGAAAATACTTCCCAGAATTAACCACACAAAACCAATACACCATAATCTGCTTCTTCTGATAAATCAGCCGATTTAACCCATACTGGATACAAATCATTCACATTAATCCCAAATTGAAAGATACAGTGAAAATTACTTCATTTTTCCTCTCTATCTAAATGATTTAACACATTTTCTTCCTTAAGGTCTTTATAGCTGCAATCCATTTAAAATTAAATGGAATTCTATTTGACGCAATTTCCACTTCAACACTCACTAGACATTATAGTACTTATGCAGCACAACTAAAAAGTAATCTTCTTTCCAAACCTCTGCAAACTCCTTGATGTCCTGTATCCAGTACAGCTCAACACTTCTTCTTGCCCTTAAAATGCTGCAGCCTCAGCATGGAGGTAACATTTCAGAGTGGGGGAAGAGCAGGAGGAGGGAAAAAGGTGAAGGGGGCGTGGAAAGAAAAAACCTACACACACACAAATACAGACAAGAAACCTCTGAACAGGTTCTGGCAGAAAACACTTTGAATAATAATTACATATTTCTGGATGTGAAGCTTTATAAAGACTTCAATCTTTTCTTCTTAAAGTACTCCTTCTTCTAAAAGTGTCCAAGCGAGAAAACAACCAAGATATAAAAGAAAAACCTATAATAATGCCTTAGAAACAATATTTTCTTTAAAAAAACCAGCACGGAGATAATAGCCCTAACAATACAAGAACTGGAAAAAGCTGTCAAAGTTGCCCCTAAGTTTCAGTACACTTGCACTGGCTGGGTTCCTAACTCATCTCCTCATACCAGTTTTCCAGCACTTGCATTAGTCCAGCCGCAGTTTTCTGACCTATTCAGAACAAACCTCAAATATCAGACTTCCAGTGCATTGAGCATCCAAGCCAATTTTCCATCTAAAGGAGTCTTGGTTAAATTAATTCAAACCCAAATTCATTTAAAATCCAAAGGTAGCTCTGATATAAATGTTATCATAAACATAGCCATAAATCCTGAAAAGTTGTTTCAATTTATATTTTATTTCCAGTCTCTTCTGCAGTATGAACAAGATCAGGTCTTCCATTTCTCTCCCATGAACAAGATCAGGTCTTCCCTTCTACAGCATTAAGTGGCAATAAGAGCAGATCAAGAGGGAACAGTTGGAAGAAACTGCCTGTGTCAGAGACAAGATCTGACAAATGGAAAGCAAAAGGGTATTGGAAAAGTTGCACAT